AACGACAGTGGAGTCATTCAGGTTCCTGGGCACCACCATCTCTCAGGACCTGAAGTGGGACACTCACATTGACTCCATTGTTAAAAAGGCCCAGCAGAGGTTGTACTTCCTTCGCCAGCTGAGGAAATTCAACCTGCCACAGGAGCTGCTGAAACAGTTCTACTCAGCCGTCATCGAGTCTGTTCTGTGCACTTCAATAACTGTCTGGTTTGGTTCAGCTACAAAATCAGACATCAGAAGACTACAGAGAACGGTTCGGACTGCTGAAAGGATTATTGGTGCCCCCCTGCCTACCCTCCAAGAACTTACATCCAGAGTGAGGAAAAGGGCTCAGAAAATCACTCTGGATCCATCACATCCAAGCCATCTCCTTTTTGAACTTTTGCCATCTGGTCGGCGTTACAGAGCACCGAATACCAGGACAGCCAGGCACAAGAACAGTTTCTTTCCCCAGGCAATCTACCTCATGAACAGTTAATGTTCTCCCATTGTGCAATTAAAGTACAGTATGTGCAATAACCTTATACTTATTTATCACCCTAAACCCTAGTACATCCCTACAACTTATTTTATTTTATTATATTCCTATTCCATCTATAGCACACCTGTACATACAATTTATTCTTTTTTTGTGTGGTTTATATTTATGCATGTGTATTTTATTCACATCTCACTTTTATTATCTGTGTGTTGTTGTTGTCTCCGTGTACTGGAAGCTTGTGACACTATAACAAATTCCTTGTATGTGCAAACATACTTGGCAATAAAGCTCTTTCTGATTCTGATTCTGATTCTGAGATTGAGAGATTGAGAGAACGATTAAAATATTGAAGATATTTTTTTTTATAGCACAACTTGAACGGACACGCATAAACTTGTTAAAATGTTCGTCTGTCTAAAAATGTATTACTCAGTCTTCTTTACCAGAAAAAGAATTCAGGAAGGACTAAAGTTAAGAATGTATGGGAGAGATTTAGAGAAAGTTGGAACTTTTAAATTCCTTGGAATTAATTTGGATTCACGTTTGACATTTGCAGATCATATCAGGAGAATGGAAGAAAAGTGCAAAAGAGTAATAAATGTAATGAGATGTTTGAGGGGAAAAGAATGGGGTGCAAGTAGGTTATCAATGAAGAGAATATATGTGTCTCTAATTCGATCGGTGTTAGATTATGGGTGTGTGGTTTTTGGTTCTGCAGCTCAATCTCTGTTAAAAAAGCTTGATGTAATCCAGGCACAGGCCTTGAGGCTGTGTTGTGGCCTGCAGAGGGCACTGTGGTGTGTAAACGGCACCATGTCGCGTCGAAAAAGACCCGCTCAGTAGCGTGCAGAGCAGTCGATTGGGGACCTTCGAAGGTAATGTATTGTTTACCTAAGAAAATGTATACTAAATGTAAACCTGATTCATATCAGTGACATCTAACGTAGATGTGTGTGACAGGTTCAAAATGGTGCTGCGGCGGATCTTTCATGCTTTGATAAATAACGCTCAAGTGGTGGAGAAGCTCTCGGAGTCTCGGCCTATCAGACGCGCGGCGCAGATCACGGCCTTCGCCATCGCTAAAGCACAGATCGCCGGGAAAGACGCCTCGACCAAGCTGCTCAGATCCGACACTTTTCGCCAGATACGTGAGGAGACGTCAAAGATGCCCAGGGATGCGGGAGAGTTGGGTCGGAGAGCTACTAGACTGCGGGATACGTTTGTGAAGGAAGTGAAAGAGGGAATGAGAGACGCCAACAGACGGATAAAAGACAGAGAGTGACTGAATGAGTGAACCTTGTGTTAATGGCGTTATTACGATTCCACTTGTGAATACGAGGACAGCGTTATTAAAGACTTCATTTAGAACGTCCTACTGTAAGACTGGGGTTTTATGGCCCTCAATAAACTAATTAAATGAATATCACTGTAAAGTCTATGAGTGTTGATAATGATGCGTGAATGACTGGATGTGCCTTGTTGTTGTGAAATAAATGAAGGATTTGCGATTAGTTATGCCACCTTATTGACAACATTTGAAGCCAAGTTATTAAATGAAAACATTTTAAACCTACAAAAATGTTGAGCTCCACGAGGACGAAGCGCGAGACTGTACTGCAGATATTGCGTTTATGTGACGTGACATAAGCATGGTGCATGACCATCAAAACGATCTGAAGCTTTATTAAAATCAAAAGTATAAATAAGCAGTGTTGGGGAAAGTTACTTTAAAAAGTAATGCATTACAATATTGCGTTACTCCATTAAAAAGTAACGAAGCGCGTTACTTTTTATGGAAAGTAATGCGTTACGTTACTTTCGCGTTACTTTTAAAATCTGGGCAGGGCTTGCTTGTTTTAAAAATAAAAAAAGTTCTGTTTTTGGCAAATATAAAAGCCTTTTTACACCAGAAGTGAAATGAATAAGCCTCAGGCTGAAGGGAATGTAAATTTTACGTCCGTACAGTAGAATGCAGAAGAAGAAATATCAACACACTTCAGCAATAAAAAAAGACACAAATGTTTGTCTAGAGTCATTTTTGCTTATTAGTACAGTTGAACTGGATCATCGAAGGTCAGAAGCAAAGACATTGGTTAATAGAATGGGATTAAATACATAAAGGATATTTGTGTTGTTTAACATTTATTGCATCTTCTGAGTTGCATTATTTGTATTCATTTTGAGGAATACTGAATCTGTTTTTTTGTGTGTGAGATGAATTAATGCATATTTATTGTAGAACTACAGTAACATCTTGTGATTTCTCTCAACATGAGGACAGGAGAGCTGTTAATAATTTTGGGAAAAAAACTAACTTGCGTTACTTATTTGAAAAAGTAACTCCGATATTCTCTTGTAAATTAAAAAGTAATGCGTTACTTTACTAGTTACTTGAAAAAGTAATCTGATTACGTAACTCGGATATTTGTGTTGTTTAACATTTAATTATTGCATATTCTGAGTTGCATTATTTGTATTCATTTTGAGGAATACTGAATCTGTTTTTTTGTGTGTGAGATGAATTAATGCATATTTATTGTAGAACTACAGTAACATCTTGTGATTTCTCTCAACATGAGGACAGGAGAGCTGTCAATAATTTTGGGGAAAAAACTAACTTGCGTTACTTATTTGAAAAAGTAACTCCGATATTCTCTTGTAAATTAAAAAGTAATGCGTTACTTTACTAGTTACTTGAAAAAAGTAATCTGATTGCGTTACTTGTAATGCGTTACCCCCAACACTGTAAATAAGAGTACATGTAGTTTGCTACTATAGGATTGTCCGCTTTAGAGTAAGAAGGTTCATCGCAACTTTATATCTCACAGTGTGACTGTTTTCAACTTTAACTTTCTATGCTCCTCTTTATAGTTTTTACTCTGAAGCGAAAACAGGTTTCCATAACACATAAAGCAATAGAAAAACCTGGAAGAATACTTGTTAGAAGTCCAACTGCATGTGCTGTCAAAGTAATAAGTGGAGTGAAACTATTTGACACATGACATCTTGGAACACTTATCTAAAGAAGCTAATACCTAAAAAAAACTTCCAAATATGATTTAATTGGACAAGCAGCTTTCCATTAGGGTTGATATTTTGTAAAAACAAGTACTGGAACGTTTTACTGTTCTTAACTAGGTTTGAAAATGATGTAAACGTTTTTTTTTTTCCAACCAAAAATCTAAATTCCTACCCAAAAATGTAACCATGAGAAAGAAACTATTTTACGAGGTGGCATGAACACATATTATTTGATTCATATGGGGGAGGGAAAAGCAAGAAGGTCCACCCCAACTCCAAACAAAACCATCAGTGGGGAGTGAGCAGGTCTTAGCCCAGGGCTCTCCAACTCTGCTCCGATAGAGCTACTGTCCTGTAGACTTCGGTTCCAACACACATGCCTATAACTTTCATATTTCCTTGATTATCTGGTTCAGGTGTATTTGATTGGAGTTGGATCCAGGGTTGGAGAGCCCTGAATTAGCCATTAATTCAACACAAAATAGTTACAAAATATCACGAGTGTGTTGGATTTACTCACCCTCATGTCAATCCAAGCCTGTATTACTTACTCTTATTTGAAAGTAAAATAATTTGAAGAATGTCGGTAACCTAACAATTTTAGTGACCACTGACTTCCTTTATACAGCATTCGGTTCTCAAAAACTCTAACAATATCTTTAATGTTCCACAGATAAAAGTAAGTCATACAGGTTTGGAATGACATGAGGATGAGTAAAAGACAGAATATTATGTTTTTGAGTCAACTATCCTTTTAAGGTGCCATATGGCCTCACAAAATAACAGCTGTGACAATCAACATGACAACTTTTCAGAAGTGCACTGATGTGTACAGCTAGACAGAATAATGTGTGCCATTGCATTGTCACACCTTAGCCCTCCATCTGAAGGAATACTCACACCAGCACTGTGCTGTATGAGAAAGATTTTATTTTTCTTGAATTAGCCATTCTCTTGTTCGTTTTGATCAATGGAATGAATCAGAACAGTAGGTTATTTACATGTTTCTTTTTTTCCAGTCCCAAAATGTCCCTAAAAAGCAGAGGTGGTAGAACAAGCAGTCTTAGTATACAAAACAATCATGTCATAGGAAGAGCAGGCAAGACCCCCTTCTCTGGGACGGGTTTAGAAAAAAGGAGTCTCTGGAGCTTCTATCTGCATAACATCAGCCCTGCGCCAAAGCTTCGTCAGCCCTGTGAAGCTCTTCTTTCAGCTGAGACGGTTTGTGTCTGAGAGGGGGACGGATAGAATGTTCTTCTCCACACATGATGACTCTGATGTAGCACACTTGGAGCAGATGATGTTGAAATGGTGGGCAGAGGGGAGGAAGAGACTGAACTAGCTTCAAATAGCACGTTAATCATCCGCTAGGCTCGGTTTTCTCCGCATTCCCCTCACTGCCCTGCATCTTGTCATTTGTTTCAGTTTAGGAAAATAAAGGGTGGTAACAGAAAAAGGGGAAAAAATATATTCATACCATTTCTCTTTTTGTTTTTTGTTTTTTTAAATATCTTGCTCTGATATACATTTTACGATGTCAAGAAAATAACTCCCATCATAATAGTGCTTAAGTAAAGCTCAATATAGACTTTTATTATAACAAAATAGGCAGTTTATGGAGGGTTAAATATCTGTTAAGATCTCATTGTACAATAAATTTCTTCCACATATGCGGTGGCATTTTATTGCCTCTTAAAAATATCAGTTCCTTACAAATGGCAGACTTTCCTAAATGTAAATCAAAGTGTTGAAAACACATACTCCGTGTAAGACACTGATTGTAGACTCCGACATTCTAACAGTGGCGGCACACGTCTCACACCTGTGCAGCGGGACATCATCTAAACACAATGGCTCCATAACGAAGACGATCAGAATGAGGAGAACAATAAGCATGCCAATACAACAGTCAAGGGAGAGGTAAAAGAAGAAAATCAATAACGTGTGGAACATACGGGACTATGGTGGAAATGAACACTGAGAAAGAAGGGCTGAAGAACACCTGGTCTTAGAAGCTACAACGTGCAAAGTTTTGCTTTTTTGTGTGTTTCTCACCATTTTAACGAATCCGTTGCCTGAGACTTGAGCTCCATGTTACCATTTTCACAAATAAAACAACAAAAAAAAAAAACAATAGAATGGGTAAAATGAAAAGAGACTTGTCAGAATATCCAGATCGCTGGCTTTGTCCTTACAAAGTAACCTCCCTTAAACATTAAGGAACTGTACCGTTTCCAAACCCCTGGTAAACAGATGCAGGTCTGGCATAGCTTTGCTTTCTGTAAGCATGGAAGCAGTAAAGATCTGAGGAGGACAGATCATCTTCTCTTGAAATAGCTACTGAGGAACTAGAAGTAGGAGGTGAAGATATAGGACTGAACAGAGAGAGATTGAAGTATGCTGGATTAAGGAATTAATCTGTTGAGTGAATTCTGTCAGCTGGAGAAGCCCAACTGAGATTACCAAAAAGAAAAAAAAAATACAGATTCAATAAATAAACCAGGCAGAGAGAGGGGGATGATAAACTCCTGAAGGCGTTCATAGTTTCTCCTTGGACTGTACCCATATGTATGGCCCAGACTGTTCCTCAATTATCTGCTTGACTTGATCGTAGATCTCTTCCAAAGTGTCCCCCTGAACAATAGCTGCAATGCAGAAAAGATCACAGTGAGGAGACAGCGATGACAAGAATAAAATAACTAATACATTTAGAACAGACAACCCAAGATTTGATCTTCTAAAAATTATGGTTTACAAATACAAAAACAAAATGTAATACTCAATCTTTCAATCCGCATGGTTTATCCTCATGATCTTTCATTAAAAATTCAATTTGTCCAGGCATTTATACTCCTGTTTGACAGGAGTATAAATTAGTGCTGTCAAATGATTAATTGCGATTAATCGCATCCAAAATAAAAGTTTTTATTTACATAATATATGTGCAGTGTTGAGCAAGTTACTCTGAAAATGTAATCAACGTACTGATTACTCCTTTTAAAACTAATCACGTTAGTGTTCTGATTACTTTATTTCAAAAGTAATTAGTTACATTACTAGTTACGTTACTTTTTTCTCCATGAAATTTATGAAATACACGCTCCCGATAAATATTTGTTATTAAAGCAACAACATTCACAGAACACTGTTATTTTTA